AACCAGAACATGTTTGAGTATGTATTAGAAGTAATATATAATCTTCAAGTTTCAGATTTCTCATTTAGCACATTGATGTCTCAAATATTGTCAGCTATGTAAAAACACTTGATTATAAATCACTGGACAAAAACATACCGCAAATTTAGAGTCATAAGCAGATGTTATGAATCTTGAATCAAATCGTTCATAACTAACATGACTTTTGATTCTTCAAAAACGCACATTGTAAAACAAACATCAAACAATGAGTAATCCAGGACTTTAGTCACCTCTGATATGATACATGTACATATATATTTACAAGAAAACACACGTCAACACTTGCAAGACATAATTAACAAACCATATTTTGTACTTTTGTGCAAATATACATCCAGCAAATTACTATCTAATTGCACAAAAATAGGAGCCGACATTAAGGGGAAACCCGACCTAACCTATTTGCTCGTGCAGCCATAAAAAAGCCCAAAACCAAACAAAAACAAATCATAAATCAATTATTATTGCGACATTTATTATTACAAATGCCGATAACATATTTAAAACAAGCATGCTTATCTATTACAATTACAACTCACCTTGTGGGGCACTAGCCGTCAAACTTGCACACAGAATTAACAGAAAGTTTATTACGATCCTCTGCTTCATTGTAATTGATTGTTGATAAATTGATTATTGCTAAACTAATTAATAATTAGGCGTCAACGGTGATTTGTTTTAATTCGATTTGATTACTTTATTAAAGTAGTTCTTTTCAGATGGAGATGACCGAAAGAAATGGCAGATAAAAATGGCACCATCATTTATGGAGTGGTACCAACTGTTGAAAGTTAATGTGATTAATTGATGTGTTCAGAGAGCGAATTTGGCGCGAAGTTTAAATTGAAAATGGAGGGAAAAATAGATATGGTGAAAAACAATTACATACATTATTTATTGTGATTTGAATATAAAAATGCATGAAATAAAATATATAAAAATAATAATGTATTTTGCGACATAATAAACTAAATTCAATAAAAGGAGTTTAAATTTGGCGCGAAGTTTAAATTGGAGAAGGAGGGAAAATAGATATGAAACGATTACATTCATTTTTTATTATAACTTAAATATAAAAAATAAGTAAGTAAGTACATGAAATATAATATATAAAAATAAACATATATTTTATGACTAGATAAACTAAAATCATTAAGAAGAAGTTTAAATTTGGCGCAAAGTTTAAGGAGGGAAAAAATAGATATGGAACGATTGATTACATTTTTATTCTAGAAAATTGCAGCATTAATTATTTTAGTAAAATATAGTAACAGATGTGATCATGCTCTATTAAAATTAATTATACTTTATATATTATAAATAAAGTTAAAACCTTTTAAGTTGAATTTAGTTTCTTTTTCTTTTTAAATATGAACCAATTTTTTATTACACATTTCTTAATTTGAACATATACAAGGTTGAAAATTGGCCTATAAAGTATAAAATATAATATATGGTATTAATTATTTATTAATTATTATTCTATGAAATTGAGAAGTTAAATTTGTTGAATTTACTATATGTATTTTACTTTATTATAAAAATTTTGTTTAAAAGATTTCAAAATATAAAATCTTTTTTATAGGTTTTAATTTCTAAGTTTTCTATTATTTATAACTATATATATTAAAATTATATTATACTATATATTTATTTTTATATTAAACTAGATATTTATTTTTATGTTATACTATATATTTATTTTTATTTATAATTCAAAGTTGTGAAAGCACATTTTATATATTTATGAAACATTTATATTTGTTATTATAAACAATAAATCAAATTATTATAAACAAATGTTCATGAGTTTATATAACATTTATTGTATGTTTATTAAAACGAGAAATAAATTAACTGTAAGTATAAATATATACTTATAATATAAACAATTATATACAAGTGTAATAAAATAAATTTTATGGCGCTTACATAATTTATTGCAATTGTTTATATTATCAATAAATTGTTTTTATGGTTAATAAAATACACGTTTGATAACAAACGTCGATTAAAATTATATTGTATAAAACGTATTTCAAAATTAAATTTAAAAATAATAAACTGTTAAATTTAAAAATTCCAAAAACTTGTTCAAAATTAACCATTTTTTTTGGTTTTTATTTAATGCATAATATTAAATAAAAAGCAAATAAATTGGATGGATAAAAGATAATAAACAACACTTTGCAACATATTCGTCGAATTGAAAAAAAAGGTTTAAAAAAAACCTTTACCTTAAAAGGTTTAAAAAATATATTAAATAATACATACAATAATCGAATATTTGTATTTATTAGGTAATAATGTCTTTTTGTTTCACTCTATGATATAAAAAAACTAGTGGTGTATGGCATCGTGCCTTAAGGCAAATTGCTGGAACTTCCCGTACCGTAACGAAAATGTTCGAGTTTCTAATAAATATTAAATTAATAAAAATAAAACAAATAAATTCCAAATGGAAAACTCTCATTTTTATTAATTTAATAATTATTAAAGAAGTTGTGATATTAATTGGTGTATCATTTTCGATCGTTTTTTTTTAATTATTTATATGCACTGAAGATGGGTCAAATCAGGACCCGAAACGTTCGACAATAAAGACATTTTTCTTCACTAAAGTTGTATTAATTATTGGATGGATGCCTAAGAACAACTCTATCATAATATTTTACTATCTGAAAAAACTCTCACTTTATATATATATATATATATATATATATATATATATATATATACATAAATAGATATACATATTTTTATTATAATTATCAGTTATCATTAAAGTGATAACAGATAAGACAAAGAGTGCGCGAAGCCTCACATTCATTTATTTCTGTATCTGTTTTTTGTGTGTCTTGTTTAAACATTTACAACAAAGTTTTATATAATATTTAAAAAAATTGTGCGTCCTCCACCTCATATTTATATTGATTTTCAATACACATATGTTGGATTGAATAATTTTGCATAAAATTAAATAAATATAGAAAAAAATACACATAAACGTGACGCCATAAACGCTCAGTCAGTGAAAAATAAAGTTGTTGATGGTGTGTTGAAAAAAAACGAAAGTGATAAAAGTTTATATGTGTATTGACTTGTGTTTGTGTAAATAATGTTTTTAAATGGATAACATGAACTGAAAAAAAAGGTTTTGACCTAGAGAATCTTTGGTTTTCTATACTTTTCGATATATGATTATGTGCCATCATCAGTGTTTGGCACACCTTGCAAAATAAACATTATAAAATGTTATTATATTACAGACACTGATTTTGCTTCAAGTCCATTTTATCAAAAAATTGACAATATTTAAATTTATCAAATAATTATAATTACAAAAATTAGACAATTCAGAGTGTCTAATAAATATAGTGCAAGAAAAAGAAGAATTGTGATTTGTTTACTTCCTCAGTGCAGTGACCAACAAAACTAAATAAGAATACAAAAATAAATTATTTACAAAAATGTGAGTGAAAAGAAATTGAAAATAATTCTAAAACAAACAGATTGATGCAAGTAAATAACTGCATAAAATGCATATATATTTTTCAAGAACAAGTACAAACATTTAGCAGAAAATGTACAAAAATGTAAATATTAGACGATGATCCACGAATTGATCGAAATTTCCGCAAATTGTCTATGTCTAAATATATAATAGACTAAACAAATCCAAAACATCAGATTGACCAGTTTCTCAACCAACTAAATACAATTTTTCAATTTATCGATTTTCCTTCCCCTAAATGACTTCAAATTCTCAGATTGACCAATATCTCAACAGAAAGAAATTTTGTGTTTTATTCAATTTTTTTTTCATACAAAACTTTATTATTGTAATTAACTTTGAATCCACAGATTGACTAGACCTCAACAACCAAATTCTCAACCGATTGTCTCAAAATTTATATTTTAATGAAATTTTCCAAAATCCATCTGACTTCCTGAAAACATCTACTCCTCGCATTGACCCAATTGTCAACAAGTTGCATAAAAATTTGTGTTTTATTCAATAATTTTTCCATCTTCAAATCCTCAGATTAACCAAATTTCTAAACAGATTCGCGATTTATCCAAATTTTTCACAAAAAACTCTTCCCACTTTCCAACGACTCCAAATCCTCAGATTGACCAAATTATCAACAAATTGAGAACAATTTTGCATTTTATCCAAATTTTTCTAAACAAACTCTACCTCGTTAACTACCTCCAAATACTCGAATTCACCAAATCCTCAACATCCAAATTCTCAACAAACTGTCTAAAAATTTTCATTTTATCCAAATTTTCTAAATCAATCTGACCAAACAAATCTGCTTAAAAATAACTCTTCCTTTCCAACGACTCCAAATCTTCATATTGATCAGATTATCAAAAAATCGAAAACAGTTTTGCATTTTATCCAAATTTTTCTAATCACACCTTACCTCCTTAACTGCTTCCAAATTCTCAGATTGACCAAATCCTCAACAATCAAATTGTCTAAATTTTTTAATTTTATTCAAATTTGCTAAACCAACCTAATCAAACAATTGTGTACAAACATTCATCTTCATAACTACAGCAAATTCTGACATTAATCCAATTGTCAACCAATTGCATGAAAATTTGTGCCTTATTCAATTGTTTGCCAACCTTCAAATCCTCAGATTGACCAAATTTCTAAAACAATTGAAAAAAAATTTGCGTTTTATCCAAATTTTTCGAAAAAAACCTTATCCTTCTAACTCACTTTAAATCCTCAAGTTGACCAAATTCCCAACAAAATTGGAAACAATTGTACACTGTATACAATTTTTTCAATACAACTCTACTCATCTAACTGACTTCAAACCAGACCAACCTGAAATTAAACAAACTATCTGAAATTTTTTATAGTAACCCAAATTTGACAATCAATCTGACCAAAAATCCTCCAAATTTATTTTGTCCTTAAAAACACAAATCCTGATATTGCCTTACACCAAGTTATAAATATTATATATCTCTTATAACTCCTTTACCATGATGTACCAAGACGACTCCTACACCGAAGACATATCCCGTGGTCGCAAATTTATGAACTTATCGATATGCATGTATATAAATTCATTCATATCGACATACACGGTTTTCTACGCACTTTTGATCTCTATAGAATTGAGCGATGTTCGAAATTCCCAACAAAATGTCGATCAGCAGCATTTTCGATTTTTTGACGTCAAATTCTGGGACAGCGACCTCATGTTCGTCCCTGTGGTGTATAACTTGTTCTGGATCATTGCAGGTAATAATAATGAATAGATGATGATATTAATCCATTAATAATATAAAGAGTAGGGCAATGTACAAAGTTCCAATTTGAATGTCAGTAAAACTGAACCAACCACATCACAACAAATCATCAAGCAAACAATTCTTGAACTTAGTTCAGTAAAATTCACAGCTAATTCATCCACTATTGTAAATATTACTAAGTAGAAAATATCATTTAATACTAATTTTTATCCTTTTATCCTTTCAGGGCCATGGAGTGATGTGATCCTGAAATTGCTCCCAGACAAACCCCGGATTATTTCAATTGTGCGAATTTGTTGTTCGTCGCCGGAATTGTGAGTTCTTTGTTGCTGATTTTTGAGAAAAAACAAGAAGATAACCAGAAGTCTCAGGAGACAAATAGTGGTGATGCTTTGGAGCATTTTGCTAGGATCTTTGTTGATAATTTTACTGCAAGCAAAATTTTACCAGGACTTTTATCAGGTGAGACATAGTGATGGAAATAGGGTAAAACATAAGTAGCTGGTGGAAAAATTATTTATTATTTATTATTTGGACAACTTTTGTAGTTAAAATCTTAGCGTGATATTTGTTATCATATTTTGGAACTCTGAATGGAACTTTTGTCTTGCAGTGTTTGTCCATGCTTCTCTTTGGTTTTCCATGGATAACATTTAATAGTTAAAATTGTTGGATCAAATTTGTTGTTATATTTTGGTTCCATTTGTCAATTTCTGTTTTTTTTTTTCTTTCATTCTAGATCCACATCACTTTCTATTCTCAAAATAATGAATCAGTTACCAATACAGTTCTGGTTTTTTTTAAATTCAAAACCAGAAAACTACATGTTGACCATAATTTGGTAGAACATTTTTCAGTAAAAATAGGGGAAAATGTAAATATTGAATGATGATCCTTAAATGATCAATAGATCGTTATTCCAATGGTCCAAATTTAAATTAAATTTGCCTAGGTGACTCCAAATCAGCAGTGTGGCCTATAATTTCCAATGCTATTTTGAATTTTGTTCAAATTTTCAACAATGGCACTTTTTATTTTATTTATTTTTATGGTACTAATTTTCTAAACAAAAGTTTGACCAAATTATTTTAATTAATTCAATACCTTCCAAAAAATATAATTAATCTTCAGTTTGTGCTACTTAAAGTTATCACTTTTCTAAGATGATGTACAGAGAATCCAAAGCATCAGATTGACCAAATTTTCAACTGAACTTACTTGAACTCAAATGAACTTTTTAATTTATCCAAATTTTCTAAACGCGTTTGACCAAACTACTGATAATCTACTAATCACCTGTCTATTTCAAAGACTCAGTTTTTGATAGATTGACTAAATTCAAAACCAGCTGAATGAAAATTTTTGTTCTGTCAATTTTTCTAAACTAATCTAACTATACTACTCTAATCAACAATCTGTCTGCCTAAAAAAACTCCAAATTCTCAATTTCGACTATTCGGAGTAATCACTTCTTCGAGATGATGTACCAGAGACTCCAAAACGTCATAGTCTGACCAAATTCTCAACCAATTAAATAAAAAATTCAGTTCTATCTTGATTTTTCAAATATACCCATCCAAAAACTTCAAATCCTCAAATTAGAAGACCAGTCAAAGTTATCAAAAACGTGTCAGGATATATTTTTCTTCTAGTCATATTTTAGTTTTTCACACTTTTCTTGCAAAGTTTGTTCAAGTCAGTTTACTTTGGATACTAGAACTTTATATTTTTTAAGTCCCTTACATCCCCTGCATTTGCTCATTTATAATATAATTAACTTGTTACCAATACAATCCTGTTTTTTTTCTTTTCATTCTAAACCGACAAGAGCATGTCGACAAAAATGTTGTGAAATATCCTGCAGGATTTATAATTGATCAAATTATGTAATAGATATCGTCTCCATTCTCAGCCAATTAAATGAAAAATGCAGTTCAATCTTGATTTTCCACATATTCCCATCAAAAAGTCTCCAAATCCTCAGATTAAAAGACTAGTCAAAGTTATCGCTCCAAAGACGTCTCGAAATGTTTTTTCTTCTAGTCCTACTTTAGTGTTTGTCAAACTTTTCTTGAAATATTGAACTTGAAATACTTTTACAAGTCCCTTACATCCACTGCATTGTTTGTCAATCCCTTAATTGTTTATAAAATAACTAACTAGTTATCAATTAAGAAAAAAAAATTGTGGAACATCCTTAAGTAAAAAGCAGAACAAACAAAATAGGGTAACAAAGCACTAAAAAATGCAAATATCAGATGTTGATTTACAATTTATCAAATTATCCAATAAATATCTGGTTCCAGTTATCTACATCTAAACATCTATTTACCAAATCAACTCTAAATCATCAGATTGACCAAATTGTCTACTTTTGGTTAATCATTTACATTTTTAAGGAACCCCAAATCCTAGAATTAATCGACTCAAACTTGTCACACTCCAACACAATTTATCACAATATTTCTATTACATATTTATATTTCCTTTACCCAGGTTTTGGTGCCTGTCTCCTCCGCAAACAATCGCTCTTCATCCTTCAAAAATACTTCAACGACAGCTTCCATTCCATCGAGATCTATCTAAAATGCACCTTCTACTTGGGCTCGATCCTGATATCGATTTTCCTGATTATTTTTATCGAAACCGATTTCCTGGCGACTGTCGTAACATATGTGCTTCTGGCATTGTGCACTAATTGTATTATTTTGATGTTCTATAAAAATCCCACATACGATAAGGCTATGGTGGTGAGCAAGTATGAGATCTTGGATAACGATAATGAGGATTTGGATGTTTATAATAAGGTTGAGGAGATTGAAAAAAGGTTCAAGGAGAAGACAAGTAGAGATAAACAAGATAGTTGCAAGAAGCATGAAGCACCTACAAATACAATCCAACAAACAAAGTACGTCAAAACAATTGGTGAATCGTCCAAGCAAGTTTACGGGGACACCAGTTACGCCAAGCAAGACGTCCCAGCAAATCCTTTCGATGAACCAGAACCCGAAACAAGTACCAATCCTTTCGACGAAGCCGACAAGGACCCCAACAATCCTTTCAATGAACCAGATGATGTTTACGTTATAGAAAATGAGACCACAACAAATCAAACTGGTGACCAAGTGATTTACGAGTACGGAAAGACAAAAATCGAAGAAGTGCCATCAAAAGTTGGCAATGACAAAAGTGGTGATAGGGCCAAGTTTATTGCAGAGACTGTTAACAATTTAACAAGTGCTGATAGTACCAAAAAACCTGTAGACAAGAAGTTGAAGATTGTAGACAATACTGCAAGAAGTAGATTGATGGCGACGTTTTCTGGAGTTGCCAGTACCAGCCAAAGGTAATAAAAAACTTGTGGTGTATGGCATCGTGTCTCAAGGCAAATTGCTTGAACTTCCCGTACCGCACTGAAATATTCGAGGAATTTTACACGTTTTCAAATATATTATTACAAATGCTGTAACTTTCATTACTTTGCTATCTTGTATATATCTGAGCAAATCAAATGTAAATCAAATCAAATCAAATGTAAAGCAAATCAAATGTAAATCATAAATCAATTTATCTCCAGGAACATTAACAATCGTCATTTCATTTCGAATTCAATTTCAAAAAAAAAAATAGTTGCCAATTTACACGAAATTGAAAAAAGTGCTCCCGCACAGTCACAGTCTAAACGCATTTGCAAATAATTCTGTGCGACATTTTCACTTATGCTGTGCTTAGCTTGGCGGTATTTTCACATTTTTCAATAGTTTTCACAAAATTGGAAAAGTGCTCCTTTACATAAACAGTCTAAAAGCACTTGGATAAACATTTGTACCAGAGTGGCGCTTAGACTGTGCTTAGCCTGGGTCATTTTTTAAATTTTTAATCCAAAATTACAAAAATATTTTATGGAAAATAAAAAAGGATGTAATAATTTTTTATCCTCAAAAGCAATTGTTTTGTCAATACAAGCAGAAAGTTTTTTAGATCATTCAAATCGGACGCTTAGTTCACTCAAAAACTGCCATTTTTTGCACATTTAGCTCTGTATCTTCAAAATGGCGAGACCTGCCTTTGCCAAAAACTAATCACCTCTTCTCCCAATCATTACAAATTGAATGTTTTTAGATCATTCAAATCCGATACTCCGTTCTCTCAAAAACTCGATTTGTATTTTCTGCACTCTTTGCTCCATATCTCCGTAACGGTTGGACCTGCCTTTGCCAAAAACTAATCAGCACATCTCCCTATCAATAGGGATCGAATGTTTTTGAACCATTCAAATCGGTTGATCCGCGCGCCCAAAAACGTGACTGGAAATTTGTATCCATACACACACACACACACACACACACATTCATTTTTTCTGAGGTATGCCCTAAAATGTTCAGAAACCTTCAAAACGTCGAGAAATGCAAAAATTTTCATTTTCGATTTTCGGCCCATTACTATATCTACCCTACGGGAAGTTAAAAAATAACTACACTTATCAGCAGTGGCGTCGGAACCAAACTTTTGATGGGTGGGCTCGTTTTTTTTTTTTTGATAGACAGCCAGTGGGCTCGTTTTTTTTTTTAGAGATATTAGCCCATATAATTTTTTGAAATTAATGGGTGGGCTGAGCCCCTCCCCCCATCAAAATTCATGGGTGGGCTCAAGCCCACACATTCCACACGGTTCCGACGCCACTGCCTATCAGTACTTAAACCTTTCTATATTTAATTTTGCAGAAATGGTAGCATCACAGAACCTCAGCCAATTTATTCAGAAAATCAATTGGAATTCAACAGCCGTCAAAATCGACCAAGGTATGATAAAAAAAAAATAAAAATCAACTGACCTGAGTATTCGTCCAGATTTCTTGTAAAATTTTTTACCCCTTTTACCCCCAGGAACCAAAAATGCTGCTCCAAGTTCTGCGAAGAGTTCACAGTCTTCAAGAAACCATCCTTCTACCCAAGTCTGGTATTATATCTGTACCAGCGTCTGATGCCCTTATTTTTCTGGATTTTGCTGCCATCGATTCTGCTAAGGGCTGGACTACCGATAGTCCTTTGCATCACTTTTTATCTGGCAGCCTCCATAATCGGGATGAGTGGCAATGTACTGATTTCGAAGTTGTCCAAAATGTCTGCAAATATGAGGCTGGTTTATTTGTCTGTGTTTTGCATGTTGGCATCGATGGCACTTTACGGTAAATGAGATAAATGATAATAAAAATAAGTACCTGAAGAAATTCTTAGAGATGATCCATCCAATTCTTGTTTTGGCCTGAATTGACAGTATTTCTTTGACTACTAGCCTTTATTATATTTTCAGAAGTGACAAAAGTCTACAACACCATGACCATCCTGGTCATAACTTTAATAGCAAGTTTCTGCATATCTTGCTCCACCAGTTTAAGTCGAGCTGCCATAAACGACTACTTGGAAATCCAGGTAAATAGATATCACATCACATCTACTTTATTAAGATGACCATATTTTTTTAAGTCAAAACCAGGACGGCAATTTTTGGTAATGCTAATCAGGAACTGGGGAGTCTTCTATTTCTATTTAATTCCATTCATTTTTTTTTCTTATTTAATTTAAAAATAATACTTGTTCGTTTGTTTCCATAATTTTGTTAATTAACTTCCCGAAGGAGTTTGTTTTCATCAAAAAATCCGAATTGCTAATTTTATGTTTTCTCGACGTTTCAAGCCATTCTGAATCGAATGAGACCAAATTTGGAAAAAGTATGTGTGTGTGTGCGTGTGTGTGTGTGTGTGTATGTGAACAGATTTTTTGCCGTAAATCGACGTTTTCTCGAAAACGGCTGGGTCGACTTCAAAAATTTAAAAGCCATTCGATGTATCTCGACGAGTTGTTTGTCAGTTTTGTGCAACGATCTGACAAGCCGTTTCTTTGTAATTCGAAAAAAAGTGTTAAACTTTTCGTCTACATTTAAGCTCATCCTACCGAACCGATTTTAAAAAATCAAAAACTGTTCGAAAGATATTAGTTGGGAATGATACTGATTAATTTTAGGTGAAAATCTACCGAGCCGTTTTCTTGTAATTAACTGTTGAAAAAAGTGTTAAATTTTCGTCGACATTTAAGCTCATCCTACCGAACCGATTTTGAAAAAGCAAAAACTGTTCGAAAGATATTAGTTGGGAATGGTACTGATTAATTTTAGGTGAAAATCTACCGAGCCGTTTTCTTGTAATTAACTGTTGAAAAAAATTTAAGCCGATGTTCATGGAACTTTTTTTGGCGATATTCATCGTGGTCTTATAGAACTTACTGTAATGTTACGGCCTTACGACAAGTAGTTAAATTTTACAAATTCGTCAAAGTTTGCTAAAATTATTATCGTTTTTTTTTAAAGTAGGATTGATGAAGTATATTATTTACACATTTTTTTTTTATTAAGTCGATTATTGACACATATCGGGAAGTTCATGTAACTTGCCTCAAGGCTAAATACCAAACCAACTAGTTCTATTAATACTCGGGACAATCCGGGACAAATATGGCTTTTAGAAAAACCTGGGACACAAGTTGGAAATCCAGTCCCTTAACTTTATTCATTATTCTTTTTCCTTTTCAGGATCTGAACAAATCCAGGACGATCCTGACCACGATCTACGCCTTGTGCCTGGTTTTTGCAACTTTTGGACACAACAATTATATAGATTCTTATTACAGAGTGGCATCGTTTGTAAATATTTCTATAGGAATGCTTTATGGTAGTTTTGTGATGTTTCGAATTTGGTTCAAGTTTAACAAACATCCTAGCAGCCAATTGACTATTAGTCGAACATAGTAATAACAGATAATTATAATTGATAAATGTATTAGTTGGGCAGCAACTGAGTAAAATAGATGATATGAATGCAAAAATGAATAGGTACAGTGGTATCCCAAATTACATGTACCTGTTATACAAATGTTTTGAGATTCAAGTTGCCAAAGGAGCGATTTGTTGCTTCGATATGCGAGTAAAATTTGAGATACGAGCTTTGAGCAAGTAAGAGTAGTCTAGAAAAAAGTTAATGACTGTTAATGAAAAGTTAATATGAAAAATTTCGTCAATTGTAACCATGATTGTCCTATTATAGTAATATAAAATATGAATAAAAAAATAAACAAAATAAAAATATGAAAATTTTTGTCAGTTGTAACAATTGTTCTACTATAGAAATATATTGTCTGCTTTTTATTGTTAATTATTTTATAGTCAGATTTCATTGCTCACCTTTTTTATATTTAGTATATTTTTTTTTAAATTCGTCTCTGTTATTATATATTAGGATAAATTATTACAAAGTGTATAAAACCATCCATAAATCTGTGTACAAAAATTTTTAACTGTTGGAACAAAATTATATTAAAATATTTGTTGAATTTTGAAATTATGAATACTTCGCAAATTCACATTTCTTTCGCTTTAATGTTTTGGATTACATTTATATTTATTTTGTTACAACTTTTGTTGATTTCAGTGCTGACCTTTTTTCATATTTAGTATAATTTTGTTCAAATTTGTCTCTGTTATTATATATTAGGATAGATTATTAAAAAGTGTATAAAACCATCCATAAATCTGTGTACAAAAATTTATAACTGTTGGAACAAAATTATATTAATAATTTGTAGAACTTTGAAGTTATGAATACCTTGTAAATTTCACATTGTTTTCATTTCAATGTTATGGATTGCATTTATATTTATTTTGTTACAATTTAATTAAATATATTAATATTCATACCTTCGTTAATCGTATTTTTTAACTCCAATCAACTTCAATTAACCACCAAATTGAATTTCTGTTCCTTTCGTCTTCTTAAAACTTCTATAAAAACATCAATAGACTATGCTGAGCACTACATGTGTTTTATAAATCCATCAACCTAAAATTGATACATCTATTAATAATAATAAGTTTTTCAAGATATTTGAGTTATCAAGACTGCTTAAATTAAAGTTTGATATTACATTTTAATAACAAAATACTTACATAAAATTTTACATAGTTCTATTTGATATCGTTGTAACTGTAAAAAAGTTGTCATTAGACTAATTGTAAGTACAATAGAACCCCGTCAAGACGATAATAAAATTGTCTCTATCCCGTTTAAGACGCTTTTCAATCGCTCACTGAGAAATTGTCATAACGGGGTTGTACTGTATATACTTGTAAATATATAAAAATATTTTACTATTTTATAACAGTTATATTATATACTTTATCATATATACATAATTAAATAAATAGAAATTAATTTAAATATTATATGAAATTGTTTAAATATTAATTTCAACAAACATTTGTATATGTTAATTTATATATAATATATATATATATATATATATATATTTATAAATATTTATATATTAAAATGCTTGACATGGAATGTACAATTTCAAAACAGTTCATAACAATATCGATAGCATGATAATTTAAAAAAATTATAATAAAACTTGTAAACATCTAAAATATTTATAATAAAATTTGTTAAAATCTAAATTAGATCTATTAGAATTAATATAATAATTACTTTCATAAAATTTCTTAAAAATATTTTTTTTAACTCAATGTTTTAAACTTATTTCTCGTATAAATATTTATAATTATAATAATGAGTGAAATATACCCGAAGACATGATATATTTTGTATTAACATAATTTTAACTTTATATATATATGATAATAAACTAATAAATAAACTTTCATTTAAGTACTTAAGCATTATAGATAGTTTTAAAACAACACATTGAAATAATGACAGTCAAAAATCACAAAAGTAAGGAACTACTATACATACCAAATTTTTAAAGACTCCAATAGTTCACGCAATTCTTAATAAATTAATATATTAAATTATCTTTTTTATTAACAATTGCATCATAAAATATGAATCTATAATAATATTAGCTAAGTAAATCAAAAATATCCTCCTTTGTCAAACTTTTCGTCTCGGTATTACTTTTAATAAAATTCTGGTTAATAGAATTAGTTTGCATACTATTCATAGGTATTTTATTATTAGAATTCGTCGGAGACGTTAATAAACTATCAAAAGCTGCCATAGAACCATTTTTTGTATTAAAACTAGAATTCATAAAACTCTGATTCATCGTACTCGTTGATATATTATAATTAGGCTTTTGGAAATTGGATGTGAAATTCTGGTTACCCATGAAATTTGGTTGTTGGTTAAAATTAGGGCTACTGACCATATTCTGGTTTGGAAAATTTGTACCATTCATGGTGAAGTTTTGGTTGATGTTGCTGCTCCAGGAGTTTTGGTTGTAATTTGGTTGTGGTGTTGTTGTTGTTGTTGATAGTTTTGTTTGCTGGTGAACATTTGGCTTAAGTTCGAATCCATTAAATTTGTTGATGCTTCGTTGTTAGTTTTGAGATTGGATTTTGTGGTTGGAGAATTGCTGGTTGAGATCTCATTTTTTGGGCAAATTCTTGTTGTGACACAATTCTAAAATGATAAATGATTTATGTTTTCAACTTCACAACGAAGAAGATTGTTTTTGTCAAAAAATACGAATTGATAACTTTGAATTCTAAATGTTTCAAGTCATTCCTAATCGTTTGACATAAAAAATTATTAGTAATGAAGTATTACAAGATATCTTTACTACTTGCAAAATTTCAGACGGTCATTTACTACATTTTTAGCCCAGTTACAACTTTTTCAGACCAGTTACAAAATTTTGAGACAATCTACAATATTTTCAAACAATTCGTAACATTTTTAAACAATTTATAATAAGTTCCAATAATTCACAACATTTTAAATATTATAACATTTTCATAATTCACAAAATTTTCAGAAAGTTACATAATTTTCAGATAATTAACGACATTTTAGACAATTTACAACATTTTCAGACAATTTACCATAATTTTCAGACCAGTTACAACATTTTCAGACCAGTTACAACATTTTCAGACCATTTACAAAATTTTTAGACAATTTACAACATTTTCAGACAATTTACCATATTTTCAGACAATTTACAAATATTTGATACCTCAGTTATTGCATTTTCAGGTCAGTTACAACATTTGGGGACCAATCATAAAGTTTTTAGACCTGTTACAGCATTTTCAGACCAGTTATAATACTTTCAGACAATTTACAGCATTTTCAGACAATCTACATAATTTTCAGACCAGTTACAACATTTTCAGACAAGCTACAACATTTTCAGACAAGTTACAACATTTTCAGACAAGTTACATGATTTTCAGACCAGTAACAACATTTTTAGACAATTTACAACATTTTCAGACAATTTACAACATTTTTAGACAATTTGCAACATTTTCGGATAATTTACAACATCTTCAGATAATTTACAAAATTCTCAGACAATTTACAACATTTTCAGGCAATGTACAACATTTTCGGATAATTTACAACATTTTCAGATAATTTACAAAATTCTCAGACAATTTACAACAGTTTCAGACAATTTACAACATTTTCAGACAATTTACAACATTTTCAGACAATTTACAACATTTTCAGACAATTTACAACATTTTCAGGCAATGTACAACATTTTCGGATAATTTACAACATTTTCAGATAATTTACAAAATTCTCAGACAATTTACAACAGTTTCAGACAATTTACAAATTCTCAGACAATCTACAACAGTTTCAGACAATTTACAACACATTTTCAGACAATTTACAACATTTTCAGACAATTTACAACATTTTCAGACAATTTGCAACATTTTCGGATAATTTACAACATCTTCAGATAATTTACAAAATTCTCAGACAATTTACAACATTTTCAGGCAATGTACAACATTTTCGGATAATTTACAACATTTTCAGATAATTTACAAAATTCTCAGACAATTTACAACATTTTCAGACAATTTACAAACATTTTTAGACCATTTACAACATTTTCAGACTAGTTACAATATTTTAAGACAAGTTATAACATTTTCGGATAATTTACAACATTTTCAGACCAGTTACAACATTTTAAGACCACCAACAACATTTTCAAACAAGTTACAACATTTTTAGACCACCAACAACATTTTCAGACCAGTTGCAACATTTTTAGACAATTTTGAACATTTTCAGACACCAGTTACAACATTTTTAGACCATCAACAACATTTTCAGACCAGTTGCAACATTTTCAGACAATTCACCATATTTTCAGACAATTTACAACATTTTCAGACCAGTTACAACAACATTTTCAGACAAGTTACAACATTGTTAGACAATTCAACAACATTTTTAGACAATTTACAACATTTTCAGACCATTTACAACATTTTCAGACCAGTTGCAACATTTTCAGACAATTTACACCATTTTCAGACATTTACAACATTTTCAGACAATTTACAACATTTTCAGACAATTTACAACATTTTCAGACCAGTTACACATTTTTCAGACCATTTACAACATTTTCAGACATTGTACAACATTTTCAACCATTTTACAACATTTTCAGACAAGTTACAACACTTTCAGACTAATTACAAAATTTTTAGACAATTTGCAACATTTTCAGATCAAAAACTACATTTTCAAGCAAGTTACAAACATTTTCAGATAATTTACAACATTTTCAGACAATTTACAATATTTTCAGACATTTTGCAACATTTTCAGACAATTTACAACATTTTCAAACAACTTACAACATTTTCAGTCCAATTACAATATTCAGACCAATTACAACATTCCCAGACAATCTACAATATATTCAGACAATTTGCAACATTTTCAGATTATTACTACTATCATTGTCTCACAATTCACAACGCTTTCAAACAATTTACAATATTATAGACAACCTAGATCATTGTCGAGACAATTCACATTTTATATCTTTCTATTTATTTATTTATTTTTATTTATTCATAAGCAAGCCATAATGAATAATAATAAATTATTTCAGCTTTTGTCAAGAGCCCTATTCTCCTCATCAAGAGTGTTTAATGCAACATTATCACATTAGAAGTTTCACTTCAACAATTTTAATTTATGTAGTTACTAAATTAGACTCGTTGCAGTAATAAAACTATA